GTGAAGGGGATGTGTTTTCATTAAATAAGGTACAAAGATCCTTGCTTACTGTGAAGGCCTTCATGGCCAAGTAGGAAAGTACAGAGCAGTAGTTTCCCCTACAAAAGGGGATGCTGGTTAAATCCCTGCTGGAGGACACATTTTCTTTAAAGCATGAAAATGAAAGCACAGTACACACTGCTTAATGAATAAATAAAATGGAGAATCTATTACAAATAACTGTCCTTAATATAATAATGTTTGAATTAATGAGGATGTATATATATATATATATATATATATATATATATATATATATATATATAAAGAGGAAAAAATCTTTATTCTGAAATCAACACCATCACTTGACAAGACACAAGAAGTGTTGAAACAAGATGTTATAACATGTTTATGTTATAATTTTTGAATAAATACTATTTGTTCTACTCTGTACTGAGCACTCTTTTAAGAATAGTATTTTTGGTTATTGGAATTTTATTCCATCTATACCATTCTTACACTCGTGTATATATATATATATATATATATATATATATATATAACCATAAAAAAGTTATTGGTTAGATAGTTTAGAGGTATGTGTGTTTGTGTGTATGTGTGAGTGTGTGGAATCTGGCAGTTTTGAGAGACCATAGATCTGTGCCCAAAGAATTATGCTTCAGCTGTTGATGTCTGCATGCCATCAGTTATGACTGTACAGCCCCACATGGGAGTGAGAGCCTTGATTGTAATCACTGCATGTGAAGATGCCCTCTGCTGACATCATCATGTTATTTTCTTTCCATTGAGTTCACTTCTTTCCAGTGGCAAGCTTCCTTTTCTCTCCTCACTCCAGCCTTTAGTGTGAAAAGATGAATAATCGTTGATGATAACTTCACACCTCTCAATGACTTGTAGAAAAGCCAAGGTCACCCTTGTCTCCTCTTGCCAGTGGCCAGTTCTCTGTATAGGAGGACCTTCAGAATCCTTCAATCTGGGGCATATGATGTACATGTCCAAGTCAGCAGAACTGTCATTGTTAGAGAAGGGCTTAGAGGCTGGGTAACTGGGCATGGGTGAAAATTACAGTATTAGTGATTGGGTCAGATCAGTCGATGCCCAGAATGTGAATATGAAAGGTGCTAAAGAATCACTCCTGTCTGCAGTAGATACTTCAAGTCTCAGTGATGTAGAGCAGCATGCTGAGGATATGTCTTCTCTAGGGTATAGGTCTGGCGTTTTATGAAAGATCAGCAGTTGCCCATGCAACACATCTCTCTCCATGCCATCAATGTTGCCCAAGGGAAAGGTAGAGGCCAATAAAGAAATTATATATATATATATATATATATATATATATATATATGCATGCATACTGTCCACTAAAACGACTTCTTCAAATTAATGTTCTTCTTGGTGGAATTATGTATATGTACAGGAAGGGAGGAAAATATGTATATAATTATAATTATCTAATTATTTTAATTATAATTAAATAATTTAATTATAATTATTTACTTATTTTAGTTATAATTAATGTTTATGTTTATATTTCTCCCCTCCAACTACATATCTGTATATAAATACAGTCTGTAAGGACATTTACTTTAGTTTGATGTAGTCCTCTTAGCAGATGAAATACATGACATAGAATTTTTTTGCCATTCAATTACCCATACTGGACTATATATTTGACACACTTATGTTTATAATTATTTATATGTGCATGTATTTAAACAAGTTGTATTAAATTTAAGTGACAAGGTCTTTCTGTTTAATTTGTAATGGGGCTATCAGTATGTGATGAAGATACCATTGTTGAAGAGATATTATTTAGTGATAGGATGTATAGTTATCTGAGAGAGATAATGTAGTGATAGTTATTTTCTCCAATCAGAGATAGGAGTCAAAATACAACCAATATTGTACAATTAATAATGATATTTTATTGCCTTAGCAAAACTAAATAGGAAGAATATGAAAAGCGATAAATGGAGGTGTGTATATAGAGATCTCCTTATTTGAGTGTGCCAAGTTCTATTGAAGAAGTCAAGAGACTTATGGCAGAAAAAAAGATTTTTACTAGTTTCATAGATTTATCATCATAGTGCATTTGTATAGTAGGTTGTGTACAACATGACATGTGATTTGCTGATGACTAAGAAAGGAAACATAACATATCTTGTCTCTATGACATTTTGTGACTAAAAGGAGAAAGAAGACAGAGAGAGACCACATATGCTTTTCTTTATACTGCTTTTTGCCAATGTCATCTTGTGGGTGGAAGTAGAAGTTTCTTGGCAGACAATGTTGAGTTAATTCCTCTTGGCAAAATGGCAGTTTGGCAAAGATAGATCTACACAGGTGGCACTGCTAAGTTATTTGCATGGGAATAGTTATAAGTTGGTCAATCATTGAGCTAGCCTCATATATATATATATATATATATATATATATAAATATATGGATATATAGATCCGACAGTATGAATATGAAAAATATATGAAAAAACAAACAAAAAAACTAATATGCAATTATGCTGTTTTAATGTTTAATGTCAACGTCGGACGTTTCGGTCTAATAGACCATCTTCAGGACATATTCATAAAACATAATTAACATAGACCATATACAATTCAACATGAAAAAGATGATGGACATAAAAGATGAAGATGGTCTATTAGACCAAAACGTCTGACGTTGACATTAAACATTAAAACTGCATAATCACATATTAGGATTTTTGTTTGTTTTTTAAGTATATTTTTCTTCATATATATATATATATATAGGCCACTCAGAGAGAATAAGGAAGGCATCTTGGAGTTAAGGTGACCAGAGTGAAAAGGGTAAATCCAGCAGGATTTTAACAGACAAGTGGAGTAATCCTGGAAATTCTTTGTTGAATTTTTACAATTTTCAAATAAGTTGTTTCACATCTGGATGAAAATTGTACATAAAATGTCCAAATTTCCTGCCTTTGTTCAGTTCTTTGTTCCAGTGCTTTATCATGAAGTAAATTTTGTTAGCATTGCAGACAAGGGGTGTTGGCTATATCCTGGTATTTTTTTGAATGTTACATTATAAAATCAAATATTTGTATTTACTCAACCTTTCACAAGGTCAGGTTGTGACATAAAGTCGGTTTAATGTGGGGAGCCTGAGTGCATACACCCAGGCTAGGATTGAAAATTGCCCGAGCCTCTGCAACTGTCAGTTGCACTGGCCTCTGTGCGAGCACTGACTCCTCTCTCTGGTGCAATGAGAGGGCACGGCCTTGGGCAGCTAATCTCTGGAGTTGGTCACCTCTCAGTATAATTTTCCTCAGTTGCGACTCTGTCCTTTGATGTAACTGCCTCTGAGCACACTCTGCCCAAAGGCCGAGACCCAACTGAGAGGTGATAAATAAACATCTTACAAACTATGCAAGAGAGTAATTTACGCCCAATTTTTAAAATCAAATATATGCATATCATGTGTAGTATAAAAGATGAAATATGTGAGAACTTATTGGAAAAATGCAATAAAAGAATTACATAAAACAACTTTCTTGTTTGATTTTAATACAAATGAGATCTTCTTTTCTAAATATAGATTATATATTTGTTTATGTATGAATTGGGAACAAATATAGATTAGAATCTGACAGAATGATTGGATAAGGAACAAATAGGAAACGTTTATAAATTTAACATGTTTTACTTTTTTTTTTAAGTTTCATCAGAAAACGAAAAAAATGTTTATTTCATTTTCTGTTGAAGCTTAAATAAAAGTGAACCATGTTAAATTTATAAACATTTCCTATTTGTTTCATCTATATGTATGCATATAAATAGATTACAAGAATCATTCATACAAAAAACAAATATAGAGGTTAATGATTTAAATGGCGAGAATACATCATCGCAAACAATTTCAATAAGTTACACTAACCTCAAACTTGTATAAAACTGGAATTTATAAACAGGGATCATATCATTCATATACAGGTTCGGGTTTAGTGTAACTTATTGAAATTGTTTGCGAAGATGTATTCTCACCATTTAAATCATTAACCTCTATATTTGTTTTTTGTATGAATGATTCATGTAATTATAAGTTGAACAGCACCTATAATCGAAATATAAATAGATGTTGCTGATTATGAAAAATCTCAAAGTTGTTGAAATATCCAGGGAAAAATGTCACAAAAAATATTTTAGCATTTCTTTTCCCTTTTATCGAAATGGTAAACAAAAGAAATGTAGAAAAGAAGCTGACAGGATCTCATCAAGTCATCTTGTTAATAAGAAGCCTTTAATTTTGTTATTATTTTTTTAGAATACTATGGCTGGAGCATGTAAGCAATGAGGAAGTTTTAAGGAAAATGTAAATAAAAAGAACATTTATAGTCAGAATCAGAAAGAAAAAGTTGAAATGTTTTGGACACATAATGAGGAAGGAGGGCATGGAGAATTTGACACTCACAGGACATATCAAAGGCAAAAGATACAGGGGAAAGCAGCAGGCCACCTACCTGATGAGCTTCTGTGTATGGTTGGCAGCATGAAGGATGGGAGGGATGGCAATGTTGCTAAGAGCTACAGTGGATAGGAGGTTGGGGAGAGCCATGTCCTAAAGGGACATAGCATACAGAAGAAGAAGAATGTTGTTTTGTTACCTTTTCCCAACCCCTGCATTCCATAACTGCATTACAGCCATCTTTATACCAAACTAACACATTCAAATAATAATAATGAATAAAGATAATAAGAAGAATAGTAGTAGTAGTAGTAATAATAATAATAATAATAATAATAATAATATAATAATAATGATAATATGTAATGATATAATGATAGTAATAAGTGAAAAAAAGATAGAAAAAAAAGAAAGAAGAAATAATGAATGTATGTCCTTACTTTTCCGGTGTTCTTGACTTCAAGTTCATAAGCACTTGCAACAACTGCCAACATTAGATTCATAAGGTACAATGATCCGAAGAAGTTAATGACGATGAAATAAATCACAGTCCAGGGACTATGAGCTCGAATGACCTAGGCAAGTGAAACCAGGAAAAAAAGGGTAAATTAAA